GAGTGTGTGCTAAATATGTTCACCCGTGTATACAAGCACACAGGACCTTTAACTATAAACCTGAGATGTGTGAAAATCCCTATGCTGCAAGCATCCATTCGCGAATGGCTGGAAGCCTAAGATCTTGACAAATGAAATAGGGCAGATAGCATTAGATAGGAGGCTTGAAAACAGCTAAACACTGATTTTTCAAAATAGAATACTTATGCAGGCCACGGTGGTGAAGGACTATACTCTCAGCTACTCAAGAGGCTGAGTCAGGAAGATTGCAAATTCGAGCCCAGTCTACGCAAATTAGCAGGACCTTGTCTCAAATAAGAACTTATAGGAGAGCTCAAAGGGCTCTGGATGTAGCTTAGTGGAAGAATACCTGTGTAGTCTGAGCTAGGCCTGCTCCTACATATACAAATTAAACCAATACTTGCAAATAAAGTTAAAGTCAACACATTTAGAAAACAAAATGAGCCAGGAGTAGTGGCACATGCCTAGCACTTGGGAGGCTGAGGTAGGAAGATCACTGTAAGTTTGACGTTAGCCTGGGCTACATAGAGTTCAAGGTCAGTTTGCACTACGTAGTGAGATCGTGTCTCAAAAAAAAAAAAAAAAAAGTAAAATGGGCCTCGTGTGGTGGCTATGCCCATAATCTCAGGATTCTGGGAGGCCAAGGTTAGAGAACTACAAATTCTTGCCCAGCCTGGGTGATTTAGTGATTTTGTCTTGGACACTTTCCTGTCATTGGACACTGTACTCTATAGCCACAACGTAAAGGAGGAGAGTTTTATTTTGGCTCATGGTTTTCAGAGGACCCAGTTCATGGTTGACTGGCTCCCAGGCAGAAATGGCATGGTAAAAGGAGCATGGCAGAGAAAAGATGTTCAATCCATGGCAGCCAGGAAGCAGAGAGGATGAGAGGAACCAGGGACAAAAGCACACCTGCCCAGGTCACACAGCCAGTGACCCATCTTCCCAATGGCACATTCAGCTACTGAACACATCAGCTGCCAACTCCACCGATGAGTGTAACACCCTATGATCTAGTCACCTTCCAAACACATGAGACTTTGGCAGGAGAGTTTAGACTTAAACTATGGAAGTGACTTAGTGAGACCTAAACTCAAAGTACAAATATAAAGAGCTCAGTGCAAAGGCCCTGGAGTCATGGTTTATGCTTAGACAGCCCCTGAAGGCCTCAGCAGAGGCAGGGGTTTTCGGAACATGGTTAGACTACTGGGAGCTATAGGTACGTAGATGTTAGGAAGTAGGGCCTGGTTGAAGAGGGTCAACTGGACAACACCTGGAAGGGTGGATCTCCCTTTCTGGCTCCTCCCTTTGTCCCCTGCTTTCTGGCCAATGCGATGTGAGCAGCTTCCCTCTGTCCAGGCCCTTCTGCCATGCTGTTTGTTTTTGGAACTAGCTGATCATATAGACTGTAAATGTGAACCTCTTCTTCAAGTTATGTCAGGCATCATGCTCCAGCCATGAGGAAAGTGATTTAGCATCCTTGAGTTCATTCCCCAGCATCGCCAAGTTAAAAGAAATTGAGAAGCTTATTACTACAAAATTAACTCAAAACACGAAAGCTATAACTATGCAACACTTAGAAGAACATACAGAAATAAATCCTCATGACCTTAAATTTGGCAACAGACTCTTACAAAACAACAAAATCACAGAAATCAAATAAAAACATTGGACTTAAAATAAATTTTTAAAAAGCCCTTTAGTGAATCACAGGACATTATTGGGAAAATGAAATGACAACCTACAGAAATCTCTACAAAGCTTGTATTTGATAGAACGTAGTATCCAGTAAACAACAAAAAACCAAACAAGGCTGATAATGTAGCTCAGTAATAGAACACAGGAGGCCTAGCTTCAATTCCCAGCACAGACAAACAGGCAGGCAGGCAGGCAGACAGACAGACAGACAGACAGACAGACAGACACACACACACACACACACACAGAGGCAGAGAGAGAGAGAGAGAGAGAGAGAGAGAGAGAGAGAAAGACAGACATACAGAGACAGAGACAGAGAGAAACACACACACACAGAGGCAGAGAGAGAGAGAGACAGACAGAGACAGAGACAGACACAGAGAGAGACAGAGAGACAGAGAGACAGACAGGAATAGGGTCAGGGACAGGGACAGAGACAGAGACAGAGAGAAATTCTAAAAAATGAACAGTTGAATAGTGCTGGAGGTGTAGCTCAGTGATAGAGCATTTTCTTAGCCTGTGTAATGCCTTTGGTTTGATCCCCAGGACCACAATAGAGAAAAAAATTGCACAGGACTTGAATAGACATTTTTTCAAAAAGGACAGAAATAGCTAATATGTACACGAACAGATGCTCAATATTATTATTAGAGAAACGTAAATCAAGACCACAATAAGATACTATTTTATACCTAGTAAGATAGTTACAATAGAATACAAACAACAGGAAAACAAGTGTTGATAAAGATATAGAGAAATGAGATCGTTGTGCATTGCTGGTGAGGTTGTAAAATGTTTCAGCCAGTGTGGAAAACAGTTTAGTGGCTCCTCAAAGTTAAACAGAGGTTTACCATATGATCCAGTAACCCTACTGCCAAGAAGACACCACAAAGAATTGAAAACAGATACTCAAACAAATCCGTGTGTGCTCATAGCAACACTATTCACAAGGCCAAAAGGTGAGGGAAAAAAATCCTCAAGTGCTCATCAGTGGAGAAATAAAATATGGTTCACACATATAGGGAATATCATTTAGCCAAAAAAAGAGAGAATGAACTATTGATAGTTCACTGTAATTTTCTAGGTAGTGCTAATGCTACAATATGGATAAAACTTGAAAACAAAATACTAGCTGGCTGTGGTGGTACATGCCTGTAATCTCAGCATTCTGGGAGGCTGAGGCAGGTGGATTTCAAGTTCTAGCTAGTCTGTGCAATTTAGCAACTTCAAAAGACTCACACATACTATTTTAAACCAAAACTCACATATTTTTATGAGTATATGAAATACTTATAATAAATTATGGCAGTAAAGACACCAAATTTATGATTGCCAGGGCTGGGGAGAGGTAAATGGGAATGACTGCTTAGTAAGTGTGAAGTTTTCTTTTGGGTGGTAAGTGTTTTGTAACTAGGTATATGTAATAGTTGTGTAATGTAGTAAATGCCATTGAATGGTACACAGTACTTCACTTTATAATGCAAACATTTTACTTCAAATAAAACAAAAAGAAGTAAAGTTACGAAGGGACCTAATTGCCTTAAACGTCTAAAACATTATTGTACAAAGATAGATTTTTTTCCCCTGGGTAGTGCCAGAGAGGAGAATCAGGGGAAGTTACAGTAGGACAACTGAGAATAAGAAAGCACTCTGTAACAACAGGGCTGTTAAAAACAGTGAAAAGAGCCTGGTGGCACTCCCCTGTAATCTCCACACTTGCGAGATTGAAGCAGGAGGATCACTGTGAGTTCAAGGCCAGCCTGGACTACATACTAAGACCTGTCTCAACAAAATAGCACAGAACAAAACAAAACAAAACAGAACAAAACCAAAATAGTGAAACAGGCTGCCTCTCAAAGACGTAAAATTTTCTTGACTAAACGTGATCGAAATGATGAGAAGCAACTAGACAATTTATAGAAGGGGTTTCTACATGAGGCATGATTTCTATGTGGGGTGCAGTGTGAGGTTTATTTGTTTTTGATTGTTGGTGTTGATTTTCGGAATCAATGGATGTTCTCCCTACCTCTGGAATTAAACTGATTCCGTCTGACCATTAATAATTTATAAGCGATGTCCTAAAGGTACTGTATTCCTTCAGTTTCGAAAGGAAGTGCCCCATCGGACCAACACTCTCAATCCCATGCAGACTGTGACACAGGAAAGGGAACTAGGCTCTTTGACAACTCTGGACTTTCAGTTTTAGAGCTCCAATCAGTGCAGTTTCCTGCTGGTAGTGGGGGGTGGGGGAGTGCCTACTTATTCACTAAAATATCTGCTAAACAACTACTATTCGCTGGACACTTTGCTAAGAACACTTCAATGTAAGCGTTAAGGTTCAAACCCTCAATTAATAGTGATTAATGATAAGCAAAGAGTAAGGTGATTTTGAAACCATAGAGATTCCCCAGACTTCAGCGACAACATAGGCTCTCTGTGTGTCACACCACGTCAAATCCGAAAAGATCAATGAGAGACGTAACAAAGAAGCCAAAGATTTGGGTAATCTCTAGACTGGACGACGAGAGCACTAATTCATTCCGTCCCGGGTCTGGGCAGGGAACTCCGAAGTTACCACCTGCTCCGGCAGCCGCCGGCCGAGGCGGGCGGGGCTCCCCGGGGACCCGGTCCAGGAGGATCCCGGGGATGCCGCGTCCTCGCAGGCAGCCAGCTTCCCGCGCGCTCGGGGGAAGCCCTGGCTGACCGCCCCCGACCCAAGCAGCCTTGAAACCCGAGGCGCCTCTAGAGGATTGCGCAAAGGCCTCTTCCTCCCCCGCCTGCTCGGTGGCATGTTTCTAAAATTCCCATCTCCACAACATAAACAGGAAACGTGCAGCAAAAGCCCTGGCAGTGCAAATTCCTTGCTTCGAGGCGAGGGCGGGAGAATCTCGTCTCGGATGGTGGCGGAGGCAGATAGCAGCGGAAAAAGCGAACTTTCCAAGTGACTCCTCCCCATCCCGACTCCCAAATCCAAAAAGAATAAAAGACGCGAGCAGGGGAACCCCCCCCCCTTGAAAGGGGAAAGACAACTAGAGGCACCGCGAAGCCGCAGCCCGGCCGCCGCGCAGACCGCCTCCCGCGGCTCCGTGGCGGCGCGTGGCGGGAGCACGCCCAGCCGCCCACTCCGGC